TCATTTTTTATTCCTAAAATGGCATAAAATCAACAAAGGCTCATCGTAAGCATAGTTATCTTTATGTAAATTTGTATGTGTTTAAATTTGAGGGTTTCCCTAAGAACTTCTATGGAGTATCTCAGGTTTCAGGAAATACTACATCTTCCCAAGTGGATGGCAATAATTGAAGTACCTATCTTCCATCTCTTACTTCAGGTTTTTTTCACTCTTTCTGTTACACAGTGGTTATAGATGAGACATCCTGTTATTATAGGAAAAAGTGGAGATTTCCAGGAGATAAAATTCAATTAATGCAAGGACCCTTTGAGCTTATACCCTTGGAAGTCTACCTAAAAATTCTTCTGAAGGAGAATCTGAAGCCAAGACAAATGTTAAACAGATTGTATTTCATGTTTTCCAGAGGTAGCCTGAGTCTTCATACTCTAAGTGCTTAAAATTCCATTCTACTTTCTTTTCTATTTACTTTTCAACAGCAGGAATTTAGGTTACACTATTTTAAACAAAATTTAGACTTCTGTTGATAAGATTGTTATACACAAAGAGAAGGTTTCAATACATTAATGTGTATAAACAGTCCTGCTGATTGTACAGCAGAAGTGCTGACAGAGACTTACAAAGGACACTATTTTGAAGAATAAAATTGAAAAGAGTCCAGAAACAAACTAGACCAAACCTGTCAGTGTCATATCAGGCTGACCAGAGCATCTCAGGAGAATTGAGAAAACCTTGGAAAATGACTCTAGAAATGCAGCTAAAGTACCGAGGTAAATATACAAACAAATGAAATAGTTGCTTTCATACAAAAGCAGTTATATTAACATAAAACTTTTTTCTTGATACATTTTTATTCAATGGGCATGATTTTAATAGCAATATTAATAATGTCTGGTGATTTGTAATCAGCACCAGTGAAGGTAGAATACCTTAGGGCTTGACTTAGGACATAAGGACATGCATGTGCTAATTTATGTCAGTGAAAGTTTGTTGAAGCTAAGCTGCTTTCAATACCTCAGCTAGTTCATCTATTGTGAATTGTGGGTGTCTGTATTGTGCTCCACAGCAGAGAAATACCCCTGGACATTTTTCAATATCCCATCTATAGTCAGTGAAATCATAGTTGTCAATGAAGACTTTGTCAGCAGAATCTTGAATTCTGATGATAGTGCATGAAAACAGTCATCTAGTTGTGTCATCTTCTGCTGGAAATTTTGTTAGAAGATTTGCAACTACGCGAAGCATCTTTTTACTTACAACTTGTATTTGATTCAAAAATCATTGCTGTCCTGTAAACAAGAAACACCATGATTCCATTTTATAGTCACTTTTCAGAGCACAGCAGTTAATCTAACTCTACAGTTACACTGTTACAGTATATTACAATATATATGTGATGTTTGCTTACATGTAATATAGGACTAGGTTATCTTAAACTTCGTATTTTTATGACTTTTAAAGTCTCCATGCTGGAAACTGCATGTAATCCAGTAAAAAATTCTCTTTCCTTTAACGCACTTGATCACTGTTTCAGGAATATTTAGTGCAGCAGTAACTGTTCTTGCGCAGCATCCCAGTAGGCAAAGTACTCCACATGCATGTCTAAAAGGGTCTCTGCCTCTAAGAAAAAGGTACATAGTTTATCTTTCTTCCTGCTGAGATAATGTCCTTACTCCACTGTTTTCTGACCAATTTTGCTTGTCTCCAGCTATGCAAATGCTGCAAATTTTACAGGTTTTACAAAACCTATAATGCCCCTTCCCGAATCAATCAACAAAAAACCTAAATATTTCACCTCTGTGAAACAGTCGCTGGTATTATCACAAAAGTCACACGGGGAACAGTAGGTTAGCAAACTATGTTTGATGTTTCTCCTCCCTGCACCAGATAATGTATGTGCATAATTGCTCAAGTGCCATCTGCTTGCAGCTTAAGATGTGTTGCTCATTGATAATGAAAGTGCTGATATGGTCCTTCACATGAAATAGAAGTGTGTCTAATGTAAGCCTGCCTGATTTGGTAGGACCCTGATATAAAAAAAAAAGAGCAATGCCTTGTCAAAACTTCTGAAGAAATGTGCATTGAATAGTAATTGTTACAAAGGGAATGAAAATATGGCTGAAAGTTACCTGATAGTTTGGGGATTGAAAATTTCAATTTTCACTGTGACCGTGGAGTGGCAGTGTGAAACTTTTAGCTCGTTTTATCACACATTGCTAGGACTTTCATGGCACGGAGGAAATGGCAGGGAAGCGCAGAGTTCAAAGGTGGTTGAGGCTCAGGCCAGAGCCCACTGCTGTAAATGGCAAAACTCCCTTTGACACAAGGGTGTGTGGCACTGCCCTTGTCCCCCCCAAATCAAGGGGTGGTGTCAGACCAGTTAGAAAAAATCCCAGGAAGAAATGAAAACTGAGCAAAGACATGGTTACATTATTCAAATGCACAAAAGGCTTGCAGGTATGGAAAAAAGAATAACAATCCTCTTCTTCATGTCCATTGATAGCGCAAAAAGTAACATGATTAAACTAGGGCAAGCGAGATTTACTTTAAAGCGAGAAAAACTCTTTAATGATCAGGGAATGACTGGCAGGTATCTATTGCCTGGAGCAGTTGTCAAATGCCCATTAACAAAGGGGCTCTAAGAGCAGACTGAACATATACCTGCCAAGAAAAGCTTAGTCCATTCTGCCATGGGGCAGGGAGATAAAAGAATGATTTCTGAGATCCTTCCAGCCCCTGCTGGGTCCTCTGTCTTCTGCATGAAGAATTCTCATCTCCCATGCCTTTATACCAACATTTGTGCATAACTTGTCATTCAAAGCAGCAGTGCTCTTAGCTGTCCTTCCGTTTGACCTGTATCCAAGATGGGAAAATGGTGAATCATGATATGTTTGTTTTTTAAAAAACAGTTTTAAAATTTGCCTGCCTACCTGATAACATACATTTTAAACACAGATTCCTGTTGTTTCAAATGTACTCAAAAGTGATAAGGGAGGTGACTAGAAGCTTATTATTAATTTGCTTCTTTTATCTTTGGGAAATTAACATTCTGGCAAAGGATTTAATTGGACTTTTTTGTTAATTCTCACATTGATGCTTCGGTTTTTCCTTTGACTGGAGAGAAAAACCAGCATCTGGTGTTTGAGCATGCTAGGGATTTGCACCATATTATGTGTAATATCTCTACTGTAAATAAACAAAATGAATAATTAAGTGAATAATGAGGTGTCCTTAATGAAGACTTCTCTGACTGTAGCTATGGAGGGCTTGTACTCCTGTTGTTTGCTCTCTGTTGGGCATCTTGGGCATCACATTGCCCATATGGATATTAGCAATGTATTTTTTCAAGCAGAAGCCAGAAATAATAATAGTGAAGGCTGTCAGACACACAGAGGAGCTTTTGCTCTTTACTACTGTGTCTGCCTGCACGAGAAGGTAAAACATAAGAATAGTAGAACTGGTGTGATGTCCCCGAGGACACCGACCGGCCTGACTACCCCTTCCTGGCTTCCTCCTGGGCTCCCCTTCCTGCCCACAGCAAGGCTGCAGCAGGCCTGGTCTCCAGCTCCCCACAGCCCTGCATGGCCAGGGGCCCTGCCAAGCTGGGCTCACCTGCAGGCCCATATCCCATCCCAGCCTTGGCACGGCCTTGTCCACAGGCTGGGGCTGTCCCTGGCGCCCTGCCCTGCCCTGCCCTGCCACCATGGGACAGACCCTGGCTGCCGGGCCCTGCCCCGCCGCCCCAGGAAGCTCCTGTGGCCCTCAGGAAGGCACCGGCCCATGCTGCCTCAACGCACTGTGAGGTGGTTTCTTTTAAGCTCAGAAGAAATGTAGAGGAGCTACACTGGAAGTGTTGCACGGCCTGTCCTGATACAAAACCGAGTTCTGTGAATTGCTGGGGTATTTGTATTTCCTTGCTGTGGGGTTTGTTCTCCTCCTGGATGCGGATGGTCTCCCACACCGGCTCGCCATGTGCAGCGCTGGGCGGTCACACAGTCCTGCGGGGCCATCTGGAATGATACCAGGCCTCCTCTGCAGCAGAAAAAATCCAGTCTCCGTTTTCATGTGTTCAGGACTCCTGAGGTAATGTTCCCTCATCAGCTCCTCCCAAACACCATGTCTTGGCAGCATCTTGGATGTAGATTCTGTCTTCCATGCGTAATGATTTTGCAATGGATGGTGGCAGCCAAGGTTCAAAATGTCAGTATGATGGTGGCATGAAGGGCAACTCTTCTCACAGTCCATGCAGCAACTAAGGACAGAGCGAGGAGAGGGAGCTGCTAGTTTGAACTCAGTCCTGCCTCTGCCAGTGCTGAACGTTGCCAAACGTTCGGCATTTTTTAACATCCCTGCATTTTTTAAGGAATAAATTGGAGGTAATCTGATTTGTTTTACTGGAAAAAGGTGACAACACGAGTGACTACTTGGTACCTCTGTAAATGTGTGGCATCAGACTAGCACTGAGCAAAGCAAGACCTGAATTTCTGCTGCTGTGCTGAGGAAGCAGGAGACACCTCCTTCAGCTGGATTTCCAGTGAACTTTCTGAAGATTACAACAGGGCAAGAGCCACAGGAATCCACAGGAGAACATCCCCATCTCCTGACCATCCTTCTCTAAGTAGATTACTGGGGACACCTGGCAGCTGGAAACAGTGGCTGGAATTAATTTTCCCTCAATCTCAGCTTTCCACCTTGAACATAGCTATGTATAAGTAGAATGCAAAGTGATTTTTGTGTATATGTGATAGGATAATTAAACTTAACACTTTCTCAGCATTTGCTATTCAGAGCTGTAAGGGAAAGCTAAATGAATTGCCAAGGAGACATAGTGAAAATTAATGATGGGGAAAAGACTCAGAAGGCCTGTTCACATCTGGGCTCAGTGCTCTGCTGAACATCCACTCATTGGTTAAAACCTGTTAATATCACCTTAGGTAAACATCCTCAGCTGCCCCTGACAACTCTGCTGGCTGCTATCTATGCTTTTGTGCCTTCATTTCCAGCCCAGTGCCAGATATGCTCTACTCCTCCTGCTTGGGAAGAAGGCTGAGCAGAACTGGAAGATGACTGCTGCATGGTCCCACTTTCTTTCTCTGTCCTCAGGAGCCTGTGCCCGCTGCCAGTGATCAAGGTACCTGGTCACAGGTATGCATTCCCCCGACTTCCTATCAGCTGCTTAGGGAGGATAAGCCCTGGCACACATGTGCCAGAAAACATTCAAATTTGTAACAAATCATGCCAACATCAGTGATGGAAAAACTGCATAAATCTCACTCTGAACCACAACTGCACAAAAACAAGTCCAAAAGCACTGGTGCTCTGCCATGCATCACTAAGAATTGATGAAATGACAGTTCTTGAAAAAAAAAAAGGAGTCTTACATCTGCCTTAAAAGACAATCTTACATAGCAACTCAACATGGCATGAAACATGTGGCTATCTCAACTACATGAAGTTGTCCGATGTTAAACCACCAGAAAGCACGAACTATTTTTAGAGCTGTCATGCATTACTGCACCTGAGCTTTACTTGTCTTCTGATTAAGAGTGGTTTTCCTTCAGAGAAGTTCACTTGAATTTTATACTCATTTACTAAGTCTTATGTTCCTATTCAATTTATTTTAAAGCAGATTCTTTGGGGAAAATTATAAAGCTAATTTGAATTGATTCTTTTGAGATTCAGGCTTAGATGAAGTGCCATAAAATTGGCAGTCAAAGTGGAAAAATAGAATTTTATACTCATACTACTCAATGGACACAAGCACCTTACTGCTTGCTGCTGCTGGGGGTTTTGATGTAGGATGTTTCAGACAACTTAAACACACCCAGGAATTAAACTTCACTGAAGAAACCATGGTTTTCCTTGTTCAAGTATATTTAATCAGATTATAAAATTACGGCTGGCAGGTTCACAAAGTTAGTCATTCTCTCCAGTTTTTAAAACCAATTCTATAAAATCACAGTGGTATTAATCCTAATTCTGGGTAAGTAAAATAGAGCCCTATATCTGCAGGACATCTGAAATGGTGCTTGAGCATCTACTTGTGGACATATCAGAGTAATGTTCCTCACCAAGAACCACCCATTTCTACATTGCCAAGTCCACCGGCTAAAATTTGAGTGTTTGAGCTGTTTTGAGTGTCCAGCAATTTGGACTCCCAATCTGAAACATTTGGCAAAAAAGCCTGAGGTTTGGGTGGCAAATGTGTGGCTTTTTTTCTGAAACCAACATTTTATTATTTTTTTTTAGCTTTTTGCAATCCCATAAGACAGGGCATCTAAAATTATTAACATTTTCGGACGATTTAGGCCACCATGGTAATACATCATCAGACGAGTAAACATTTGGTCTTGCGGGTTTTCTGTCAACTGAATAATTCTGAGTGTTTTTTTCTCATAAAGCCTGTAGGCATACCAGAAAAATGAGACCTTTTTCTCAACAGAATTCATGTTTTTCTGTTACCTTTTGATACATTTACAACTTGGGAAATTCACAGAAATAATGGCTGAGGAACTGGTTCTTCAATTTCCTGTCACATAAATTACTGGGTAGATGCTCATTACACCCTTCCAGCCCTGTGCTTCCAACCTAATCAGAAGTGAGGATATGAAAAAGATGTGCTGGAAAAAACTCCAGTCCACTCTGTTATTTATTCTGCATATATTGTCCTATATTAGAAATGACTGTTATTTTGTATGAGTAAATACGTTAAGAAATATTTGCATTAAAAAAAAGTATATTGTTTTGCTTCAGTAACCTTTATTTGAAAACAATTTTACTGAAAGAAACCTTCTTTCCCATGATTACAATCTGATGAGCTCAGCTTTCCAAAAAGTACTAGTCAGGAGCTAGTTTTGATTCTAGTCAGTTTTGACTCCCATTGTAAGGCTTGGGCACCTGAAATTAGACACCAAAGTTAATATTTAAATGTGGAAATTAAAATCCCCCCATCGTTTGCACATCCAAAGTTGCTACAACCCTCAACGATCCCAGTGGGAGCTGTGGCTGCTCCCATTTTGAAAACTTTGCTGTTCAAAGAGAGGTGCTTAGTGAAGGAGATGGAACTCTGACTGCCTTGATAGTGTTCGAATGCTCCCTGGAACCAGATGGAAGTGAGTGGGATGTGATGCTGCTCTCATTTGCTGCGCTGATAAGCTGATGGAAACCCATGAATTGCTCTTCCCTGTACCCCCAGCTTTCTGGAAGCAGAGCTTGACACCTGCTATTCAGAAACTTTCTTCTATCTACCCTCTTTTTGCTTAAGGCATCCAGCAGAATTTGCCAAGATGCTGCCAGTTACAAGCATATGAGGCTGCTGGGTTTTGGGAAGCAGCACGCGGTATGTTAACTCATTCATAGGGCAGAATTTTGATAGATTGTGCTGGTCTTTGTATCCCTGGCAATCCTTTACCATCTGTCATGATTACAAAGAGAATAACGGTTGCTCAAAAACAGAGACCTGTTCTTCATTTATATCAACTGCTGAGAATCTGAAATTTCCCTCTACTAGCAATGCATGTTGTTTCTGAATGCTGCATGCATTAAGAATGTAATGACATGAGGGATGAATTAAAATACAATAAAAGTATTTTTTATCCATTTATTTCTGCTTAGCATTTCTGTTCTTATTCCACCAGGAGCCTGAGTCTTCCCTATCCAGCAAAGCAGCAATTTGGGAACTAGTGCTTACCGGTGATGCCAGGGACATCCCTCTCTTTCTTCAAAGTGAGCATGTGAAAAGACATCAGCACTGTCCAGGCCTTAAAGCTTTGTCTTTTTCATATGCTTTAATATTAAGCTAAACCAAGATTACCTTTTTCAATAGATAAACTCAGATTTCTGGCCCAAAATGGAGCACAAGGTTTGGAAACCAGTCTCCCTCCTGCCCCTGTCTTACTTCAGGATACATTCTTCCTCAAGCCTGGATTTACAATCCCATTTTTTTCAGTGTCTTTTTAAACTGAGAAGCCCATGAAGCCTGTGAAACCTGCTGCTCCCCGAGTCCCCACAGCTCTGGGTGTGCTCCCTGCTGCCAACCCCCAGTGTGGTCCAGGGCCCTGTCTGGTGCCCCCAGGCTGAGGAGGCTTCCCAGCCAACTGTCCTACCAACATATATAAAGATGTGCAATGTTTTTTTAAGAATCCTTTTTTGGTCCTGTTGGATTCAGGTAAATTACAAGTTTCCTCTTGTCCTGGGCTCAGCAGTAGCAGTCATTTTTCTCCCTCTTAGTAGCTGGTGCAGTGCTGTGGTTTTGATTTTCAGCCTTGGAACAGCGCTGATAGCACCGATGTTCTTAGTTGTTGCTCAGTAATGTTTACTCTGACCAAGGACTTTGTGAGCCTCATGCTCTGCCAGGGAGAAAGGGAAGCTGGGAGGAAGCAGAGACAGGACACCTGACCCAAACTAGCCAAAGAGGTATTCCATACCACAGCACGTCATGCTCAGGGTGTAAAACTGGGGGCAGTTACCTGGAAGGGCTAGATTGCTGCTCTGGTTGGGCTGGGTATCAGTTGGCAGGTGGTGAGCAGTTGTAGTCTCTTCCATTGTTATTTCCCTTATCATTATCATCATTATTGGTGGTAGCAATAGTGGTTTGTGCTATACCTTAGTTACTGGACTGCTCTTACCTCAACTTGCAGGAGTTAGTTACATTATTTCCATTCTCCTCCCCATCCCTCTGGGAGCAGTGGGAGGAAGCAGGGGGGAGTGAGTGAGTGGCTGTGTGGTTCTGGGTTGCTGGCTGCGCTTAAACTGTGACAGCTCTTTTTACCCATTGATCTCAACAATGAATTCTTTTTTTGTTCTTGGAGAAGAAAGATGGCTGTAAGTTGTGGTTGTTACTCGATTGTAAATAGCAATGTAAACTGTTATTTACATGATACTTATTTATCTGCTGAAGTTTAATAAAGGCCTTTTAAGAGTCCCAGCAGGTTTTTGGGAGATTATTAAACCATATGGTAAAAGGATAGATCTACACCTGATTCCAAGGGGCAAACTAATGCCAGCTAAGGTCTATAGAAAGTATACAAATAGAAGGAAAGACACTTCATATTTTTTAAAAGTAAGCTGCATGAGAGCAGGATATCACTGCAAACAATTTAAATAATTTAAGCTTTTTTCTAATTAAAATTTCATAATTTCAATGAATTGTCCCTTTTGCATAACTATGTCTAAGTCTCCTTTCTGATCTGAGTGCTGTCCCTCAAAACAGGGGGTCTTGTGTCTCATTTGTCTCAGGATGAAAACATCGTTTTCTCAGGTTTATAGCATGTTAGGTATAACTATGCCTATCTTCTAATCATTGTTTTTAAATAGACCCATTTGTATTTGGGTATTTATTTGATCTTGTCACCAGAAACAGTAACAGTAAAAACAGGTCTGTTTGTTTACTAGTGGATGGAACTAAACCTTAGACAATATAAGCTCAGACAGCAAAAGAGCTCACATGCTTAATTAGCCTCATCCAGTCCTATACCTTGCTACAAATTAAAACAGGTAAGTTTCCTCTGTGAATTAAGAAACAGCAGATGCAATTCACATTCTTTTAGCCAGCACAATGATTTTCTTTAGAAAGCCTTTTGGAATGTTCTTTTAAAAGGTTCTGACTTCTTCTTTGTTCTCATCTCTTTTAGGGGCAATGTGAAAGAAGTAAGGGAGGAAATTCAGGAGGAGAAAAAGGAAGAAATTCAGGAGAAACGGGAAAATGGAAAAGGAAACGATCTAACAAACCTTTTCATAGGAAGCTGAGCAAGTATGCATCATTTATTTCAAAACTACCTATCAAAATAGTAACATAAATGAAAATATTTGCCATCATTACAAGCTGTCCATAGGCAATCTTACTGTAATTATTTTACTCCATGTATAATGTTAAGGTATCACACTATGGAGATAAGTGCTTTAGAGATGCCAATAGATAGGTAGGCTTATGATACTAAATCACACAGTATTCAAGGTGAGAAATAGTACAATCGAGAGGGAATTGCCTTTATTTGAGAACTGCAAGCATATCTCCGTAGCAGAGCAGAGGGCAAAGCAGAGCATGCATAGCAACAGTGCTGCATGTCATTGCTGTCCATGCTGCCTGTGAGCAAAGTGCAGAGCCTGGCTGGGGTGCTGCTGGCACCCAGTGTGCTACCCAGCAGCTGCAGTGCCCCACACCTTTGGGAGTACATCAACAGCTCATATGCTGTGCAGATAGTGCACTTTTGCTTTCTGAGGCTTTCCAGGTATAATTACAATGGGACATCAATATCCAGTTACAGCCTCCGCTACCTTCACTCTTTTTTAATTATCTGGTGACTTTCACGACTCCATCTATTTTATTATTTTGTCTAGCTATCTATCAGAAAAATAAAATTAGAAAAATGCATCCAAAGAACCAGGAAATGTAGAAAATGGATACCTACAAAAGCCACATTTGTGATATGACTACAGGTAATTATCTATTACAGCATTTACAAGACAAGAATTAAAAGCAAGGAAATTAATACTGAAAGACTGTGCAAGCCTCACAGTAAAACTTGTAGGCCAATATACACAACAATCATAAAAGCATTGCCATGTCAAGTAACAAATTCCCTTTTTCTCACCACATAGCAAAATCTCTGACTCGAGCTGTCCCCCAAAACAGTCTGACTTGCTCTTTGCTTGTTCTCCACATTAAAACCATGACTTTTGACTTATAGAATTAGTTTGACATTGTATTACTAGTGGTAGTAAGCAGAAAACGTTGTCAATAGACTTGAACTTAACAGCTTACTTACATTGCCCACCTGGCAATGAAGACATACATTTTTAAATGCCTATGTATAGTTGGATTCCAAGATGCAGAACATTTTTAGTTCCAGAAATCTGTTCTCTTTCTTCAGGCTAGTACAGGGAGCTGAACAACTGATCTTCAAAGAAGCCCGAGTCACTTCAGTGGTTTTACAGTAAAGATTAGTTACAGCTTCTTCTAATCTGATACATCCTCTGAAAGGCTGAGGAGAAGAAAGACATGATTCACTAGACTAAGGTAAGTACTCTAAGGAATGAGAAGCTCAAAAAATTGTATGTTTCTGTAACAAAATGCTGTGTGCTTTGTATTTGCTTAATTAGTAATAATAGCATAATTATTAGAATTTATTTTCTTAGATATAATTAATATATATACAACTAGAACAATAAAGAAATATCAGCAGGCTTAATATGCTTTGTGCACAGAACTAAGTGTAAGTCGTGCTTAAGTAAGTTTGAAAACTTGCCCTGCATCCTGTAATTATATTACAGGGAGGATCCAGGGTGCAGTCACTAACACAGGTGCCATCCCCCTTAAATTGCCTGGTCACTGCACCATGTAATCGAGGGCAGAAATGGACCAAGATCTGTCTGCTCATATATGTCAGCAAGGAATTATCTACAGTGTGTTTATCATTTGGTAGAAGATTTTGCATTACTTTCTCCAGCTCTCATGCATGCCTACTCCACAGTCATGTTTGCACTATGTTTCACTGGCATGTGTTGAAAATAGTCATTAGCACACGCTGAGGGCTAGCACACGGGATGTTTGCAGCTGTCATTTTGCAGGATTATCTTTTACTGTACCCTCCCGTTCAGGCTAATTATGTCTGTTGTCACCAGGCAGTCAGAAGATCGTGTAACAGGGGCCAAATGCAAGACTCTCCTCATCAGACAGTACTCAGGGGGACGAAACCCAAGGGAAATTAACACAGAGGACATGAAAAGAGCAAATAAGCACAGAGAAGGAATCACAGAGTTTTGTTCATAGCTGAGTGATGTTTGCTAACACCAGCATAATTTGGCTTTTTGATGAAGCTGATGCTTCATTCAATGCAATTTCATTTTAAAATTATCTACAAATCCAAAATTATCTTTTAACTACATCGTCTGGTCTGATTCAGACATGGCAAAACTGGCTCCAAGCAACTCCATGTGGCTATAGCATTGCAGCCTGCAGCTGGGGAAGCCTGAGGTGTTTCCTCAGATTCCCATTGAAGTGGCCAGGAGGTTTCCCTGAAGGAGGGAAGTGAAGAGCCTGTGATCAGACTGTGCTCCTCACAGTATGGGGATGTGCTGGGAGAATTCCTCTGTATCTGAAGGCGAGGGAAAAATACAACTCACAGCACATGCCATGTTTCACAGCTGGGAGTCAGATGGATGCTGGATACCATTTACTCAGTTCCCTTTCTCCACTTTTGTTCTGTCTCAGATGTTTAAAGCAGAGAGAAGGGAACAAGTAAATAGCCATACGTAGGCTGGGAGAAGTGTGGAGTATTGCACTCAGGGAGTAAAAATGCTCACAGGCACTTGATGCCTTGCTGAACTGAGAATTACTCACAAGTTGCTGCTCCTAAAGTCCAGCCATATGTGTTAGGAAAGCTAGTGTGAAGTTTTAATGTGCAAGTAGTTAGTTAGACAGACACATTACTATTTCATGGAGAATTGTTAGTCTCATAAATATGCAAGAGGCTTTTATTCAGATCCAAATTTGCCTTTACTCAGGCATTGAATTCAGTAGATGAGGGGTTCAATATTTGATGCTTGAATGTTGGTATCCATATGAATTGATGCTTCTCAGTTAGATAGTGGGTGTTCCTTTAAAATAAATCCTCAATCTAAAATAGCTTAAATGAAGCCAGTAGCACACAGGATGTGTCGCAGGTAGGAGAGCGATAAGACAAGTATGGTTCTGCATAACACATGCATTTTTTATGTTGTACCCTTCAGCTTTTCAGATTTTGTCTGCAAGAGGTATTTGGTGCAATCAGTCACAGCTCTTACAGGAAAACAGAAATTCATAGACACTAATAATCCTCCTTATGAGAAAACTTTGTACCACTCCTCCCTCGTCTCTACCTCCTTACCTGCCAAAATGAGAGCGAGCACCAGCATGGGTTCCTGCGGGGTGCTGTTTTGGCTGGAGTTTGTCAGGCACAGATGGCCAACAAGATGCAGCCTCTGGTCCTCCTTGGCTGAACAACCATGCTGGGTCACCTAATGGATCCTCAGCAGCCAGCAAGAGTATCAGTTTGCTCTGAACCACAGCTCCCACAGTTTCCTTGGGCAGTCAGCAACAGACACACTGCTGTCCCACTCAAATTCTCTGCTGCCCATTTCAGGCTTGTGGCAAGCCTCATATCCTTTTTCTCTTCTTCATCCTCCCACAAACAGAGCTGTGAAAAAGCCTCTTCTCCTTGCACTTACCACTCAGCTTCCAGGTGCTGACCCTAACATGGATTGTTAGGCTCATGACCTGGGATTCCAGCTGATGATAGTGAAGCTCTGAAGAAACCTGTGGTCCAGACTGGCAGAGCAGGCCATGCACAGTCAATGCAGGTGCCCCAGGCATTGCAGATCTCACCATGCCACCAGCATCTCCCCTTTAATGCACATAGTTAAGTGAGGGTGGCTGAGAGAAGTGGCAGCAAAAGGAAAGGCAGAATTAGCGGATATGCTGTAGAATTAGGGGGGATGATGGGAATGTGAGCACTGTGATGAGGCTTTCAATACAGACGGCTGGTGACAGGGAAAGGATGGGTTGGAGAGAAGGGCAACAAGGACAAGGGGAAGAAAGTCATTTCGCAGCAGGGGACATCTGAACACAGGGAAGGCCTCTGCCACAGTGGCTTCAGCCACTCCTGGTGCCCTCTGCTAGTGTCCCAACTGGCACACAAACTGCTGGGGTCCCAGGGCCCTGCTGGTGTCCCCTAGCCAAGCCCAGGGCCAGGCTCCAGCCAGGCTCCTTTTGTGCCTTTCTTTCTTGTGCTACAACCCTACTTTGGCCTTTCCTGCAGATAGTCATTGAACCCCACTAGGCCAAGCTCTTTTCGTCTAATTCATTCCTGAAATCCTACTTACTGTATGAACTGAGCTTGTTTTCCCTGTTAATCACCATGAAATGAGCAACATTGCATCCATCTCAGTCTTACTTGCAATCTCTGGTACCTTCTAGGCTGAGAATATGTCTTCTGTTTATTTGGTTCCCTCCTGTGTATTCTGACACTGGGGCATTAGGTGAGTTTCTAGGAAGACTGGCTTCCTGCTCCTGATGCCCTGGAGAAAGCTGGTCTGAGGGCAGACCTTTCAGTATGCTGTGTGGCTTTTCTAAAATTCATGACAACTCTGTGTACCCAAAGCAATCCCATCCACACAGTGACTAACATTGCAGTTGCTTGGGCTCTTTCATTGCGTTTCTTTATTTCCCTATGGTGTTTTTTCCTCCTCCCTCTCTGTTTTGTACTTCTCTCCCCACCATATCCAGCCCTGAAGTCTCTTCGCCCATGCTGAAAAAGAAGGAATATGTGATAATAGTACAAGAATGTGTTGTGACTATGACACAGTGGTAGATGGCTCTGACAGCACAATTATGTTGAAGGCAGTAGAACAGAGCCTTTTTTATCCCACAGCTGAGAATCTGACTCCTATTTTCAAAAGATTAATTCTTTTCAGGTTTACAGAAGTCAGCCAATGTGTACTTCTTGCTGTTGCTTTTTCTTGTCAAAGCACTTTACATTTCTGTGCTTACAGCAATCTTTCTATTGGGAACAGAGGAAGAGTTTTATAAGAATAATGGTCTTGTGTATGATGCTCAATCAATCTAATTTTCAAGCCACTTCAATGTTTGCCAAGCTCTGTGGCTTAAAAATACATTCTTCAGCTTCTCACAGCAAGTGTGAGATGCTGCCTAAATTTCTGGGCAGTTGGAGCATTTGCTGTCCTCAGGCAACATCAATTTGTCCATTACTACAATAAAGCCAAATTGCTCTCCATGGTTTGATTCAGTTCCAGAGGCAAATTATAAGATTTAGGCACAACTGAGAAAATACAAGTGGGAATTTCAAAAGTTCCTCCAGCAAACAAGGTCATCTCTCCTTAAAACTCACTAGCACTTGTGCTCCAGGTCAGTCAGTAACAACGTCTGCTCACATAACACTTTATTATACCTCTGCTAAGGTGCTTTAGGAGAGCCCAGCAGGCATACTTCTTATTTCTGAATTGACTGCGTGCTAGTGAATAGATATGATTCCCGCTACTGTCTTGAAAACCATGCGGGTAATTTCACCTTCAAATGTGCAGATGAATATTTACACGGTGCAGGCCAGCTACTTACATCTGCTACATTATTTCTCTTGGTTATTTTCTGACCTTGTAAGGAAGACCTTCACATTTCTTGGACAAAGCACCTCAAACTATAATTCTGTGGATAAACTGAGTATGGACAATGAACTCATTTGGGTGATTTGTGACCATGCCTCCAGTCAGCCTAATAAGAGTGCACATTCCTGCTATGTGGTTGTTGCTCATGAAGGTATATATTCTCCAGAGGTACTACAATGTGGGGTTTGAAAACAAACCAAAAACAAACAAAAAAACAAACCAGAAAAGAAACATTTTAGCATAAAACACATTGAATGAAGCAACTTCTTAAAGTTTATGCAATGTAAATTGAAAAAAAACCCAAAGGTGCTAAAACAAAAAGAAGAGAAAGAAGAGTATTTGTTAAAAAAAGATAAAAAATGGGTTGTCACTGTGGAGATGAGGGTTGGAGCACTGAATTTCAACCTACTGAATTCTAGAATAGAGGCTTCTCTATTTCTGTGCTATGAGAAATAATCATATCAGACAACACATTTTAGTGCTTCTATTCTCATG